GTAAAAAAAACACAAAAATGTCAAAGTGTCAAAGTGTCAACAACCACAGAGACATGCAAGTGAAGCGGTGTTTTCATCTAGGTTCTGGAGATCTTTGAGCATATATTTGAAACGACAGTGTAGTCACACATCTGTGCATGTTTGCAATGTGATAAGTACAAATGTGTAGGCACCACAGAGACACGCAAGCGAGAACAGCGAATTCTAGGTTCTAGAGATCCTTTTGAGTTTATAGTTAAAACGACTGAAGTGACACATCTTTGCATGTTCACAGTGTGATAACTTTGCGTTGGCGTAAAAAAACACAAGCAAAGCCCACAAAATGTCAAAGTGTCAACAACTACAAAGACATACATGTACAAGTTAAGCAGTGTATCCATCTAGGTTCTGGAGATCTTTGAGCATATAGTTGAAACAACTGTGGTGACACATCTATGCATGTTTGCAGTGTGATAACTTTGCGTTGATGTAAAAAAAAACACAAAATGTCAAAGTGTCAAAGTGTCAACAACCACAGAGACATGCAAGTGAAGCGGTGTTTTCATCTAGGTTCTGGAGATCTTTGAGCATATATTTGAAACGACACTGTAGTCACACATCTGTGCATGTTTGCAGTGAGATAAGTACACATACAAAGACCAAAAAAAATGTCAAAGTGTATGAGTGTAAAAACAACCACTTGTTGACATTGCAGCAGTGTGTTCAAGTGATAAACTGAAAACCATCCATAACTGTTTGTTTACAAAGATCACCGAATCATGTAGCACTAACCGTCCAAACTCCAAGTACGACAGATGTCCGTGGTAGAAGGCCGGCTTCTTCGCATTCCAGCTGGTAACATTTGTGACGAACCGCTCCTAATGTGAGAGAAAAAACAGTAATTTAATTACAAGAACACACAATAAACTTGTACAGCAAGCACATGGCTATTTTCTATATTTGTATTTGTATCTGTATCTGTATACTGGTATAACCGCCCTTTGGCATAACACATACACCAGCTTCTGTATCTGTATCTGTATAGCCTGTATAACCGCCCTTCGGTATAACACACCAGCTTCGGTATCTGTCACAGTGCGTATCGGTATAACTGCCCTTCCGCGTAACACATTGGTTGTTTTGAGTATGCTGTTGTTTGTTGAGTTTCTACAGGGCTTCAACTTCTCATACTGAACTGCCAATACTGTCTTAACTGCAAGGACGGTCTCATTACCCTGGGAAAGGGTACCGATTGACCAGGATTCAGGTGAATATTGTTATGACAATTCTGCAACAGCTCCTTTCCTTGGTGCTGAAAATCGTACTGTTGTTACATTCCGTTACATTCCAAGCCATCAAATCAACCAACCGTAAGTCTATAAAAGACTTGCAATCAATATACCCTAATATTCACATAGTTTTTCAGCTTCCTGCAGCTTGTATCCATCCTGATTTTGATTACTTCCCTGCTGGTACCTATGCACATTAATGTTTGTTAGTTATTTTGAGTTTGCTGTTTGCTGAGGGCTATTTTAATCCCTGTAGTAGGTGTGTTGACTTGTATATACTACACGGAGCACTGGGAGGACCTAATGCCAATGACTGACCCTGGTGCTGGAGGTTTACACTGTCCAGGCAGCTGAGGTTAGAAGAAGTAACTGATGCACTGCACAGAAGAGAATCAGACCCAAAGAAAATAACTCAACAACAGACCTGAGTCAGCTTACAAATGTGCCCTATTTGGCAGAGACTGTGACAGTCATTCGCGTATAGGACTGTTCAGCCATAGCCGTAGGGCTGATATTAATTAGGATTTTACCCGATGATGGTAAATATTGACCAACGGAGGCCATATACTGTATATAGTAGGTGTAATGTAATATGCCATTTTACATTTGAAAAATATTTGCTAAAAAGATGCATGATGTAATTATGTAATCTCACCAAACTTCTGTTACTGTCATTGTAAGAAATAAACATGGGTTCACTCAAACAAACTTAATGTTGAGGAGTTATGGCAACAAAAGGTGTAGGTCCCATGTTTAAGGAAAGCCACACCTTGAGCACATTAAAGATCCCACTGCACTTAAAGAAACAAGCAGGGGTCCTTCTCTGTGTGAGAGGTTTATTTTATTCACATTTATTTTTCGAAGATTGGGCAAAAAGTTATAAAACTCATCTCAGCCCTCTCCTCACTCATAAAGAAAACAATAAAAAAAAGTAATAATAATAAGAAGAAGAAATGACAAAGGTACATAATGAGCTGGTGTACAAATCAAAATCAATCAACTAAATCAAACAAAACGTCCTGTCTGCAAAATTAAGTTGAAAACCACGTCAAATATTTTACAGTTGTTGACAAACGACAATGCGGGGTTACCCCTGAGAATGGTTGAACATAAGGTGTTGTCGGTGACGTTGTTTATGTCAAATGGCAGGATGTTAGTTAAAGGTGATAACATGTCAATATGTTCGTCAGTGTACAGTGGGCAGTGAGAGGTTCAAACCTTACTTACTACATCCTATAGCCACTGTTATGTCAACCTTTTACAAATGCAGTAGATCTTCATTAAACAAACACAAAAATGATGTTCCTCTCTTTTAATGATATATCATCATTCAAAGCTGCCTATGTAAATACGCAATAATTTCTACCGCGGCTTGTTTTCATAACCCCCAGCATTTTAATCACCATAATATTTCCTTGCCGCGCTTGACATATTCACACTTTCAACGGGGACCAGGTGTGGTGTACTGATAGCGTTCCTTCCCTTTCAATACCTCCTCCAGCACACTCGGTGCTTTTTAAGTCAACCGTAAAACTTGGGACTTTGGTTTCCAGCCGGCCATGTTTTATGCTGGGTTCCCAGACCGTGACATTGCTTGGTAGTTATACCCACCTCCTGGGGCTATTTGGAATGACTTTCAGACCAGATAGTTCCGTTTGTAGCTGGTCCCGCGCTGTAACTTATCTTCTCTAGTGTGGCTACTGTCAATTGGGGAGGGATAATAGCACACATTTCCTCCAAAAAGCTCTTAGACGGGCGGCGATGTGTTATTTTTTCCTGAAGTAAAGTGGCAATTTTTCTACACAGGGCTCTGGCTGGCTTTAAATCCTTATCTGTGCGCTCAGCTTGGGTCTGGATCTGAGGGTATTTTTTGGAGTAAAAATTGAATTTCTCTTTTTTGTTCTGCAATGCCAAATAAAACACCTTTTGTGAAGAATTTGTAGGTGTGTCGGTGAAGGTTAGACATCCATCCAAGTGATAAAATACTGTACACCAAAAAGCAGTTACTCGAGCAACTGGATATGATTTTGGAAGTTCCAAACTGGATTTGATTTCCCAAAATCATATCCATTTGCTTGAGTAACAATTTACTTGTAACTTGTAGATGTACTTAGTGAAAAAATACTGTGATGCGCACAAATGTACTTACATGTAGAAAAAAAACAATGAAAATTGTTGAAAAAGTATTTTGTTGTACATACTACTAACTAAGCGCATTTGTACTAATAATCATTAAATTAAGATTTATTAGTCTGTATTGTACACAGAAAACACAATAACCTAACAGCCACATCATTCACGCATACAAGAGGCGTAAAATCCATCCATCTATACTTTTGTGGCACAAAAGGTGCAAGTCTATAGAAAATAGGGCATTTCAGGGTCAGAGAGTAAGCAGACATATTGTACCTTATGGCACTTTTCAGGAAAATGCAATGTATTCAGCCCTCCAATGCTTATTATGTTTGTGAAGCCATGCGGCACAAGGTAGGAGGAAGGGCAAGAAATCTTCCTGTAGCTGTCGGTTTGACTGTACGTGTTCACGTGTATTGATTAATGAGTGCTGGCAGGGGACCAGCGGATGAGTGTCAGTTTTGAGCGCAAATAAAGAATGACTGTATGCGACACAGGTACAGTCTGGCAAATTTGTCATCCGGCAACTTTACAAAATCCTACAATGTAGATGACTTCAGGAGTGCCGAATCAATATGGCGCATTGAACAATGCCGGGAAGCGACTTTTCAGATGTCACATTGGCGCATTGATTTCAGTTAAAATTCAATGAGTAAATGGAAACAAAAACATTAAGAAGGCAACTCCCTTGACAAATTATAGCACACAATTTTACTTGTGTGCTAGGGAGCTACAATTCATCTTTATATCTACATGAATTGAACAGAACTGGATTCTTGCCATATGCTTCACCACCACTTACAAGTAAGGCTGACCACTGTACATTGTCCATTTGCAGCCAAAAGTTAAATTGACCACCATTATACCTAAAGGACATGCCCTTGACACATGTACCAATCCGAATGAATCAATGTCCCTATTCTTCTAAGAGTCCGTTTTAAAGATCTCCTTTGTGTTCCAAAATGCCCACACAAATAGCTGAACACTTTACTACATCAGGGAGGTCTGTGGTTGCTTGGCTGGAGAGGTCAAAGAAAAGGTCTTGCCTCTGTGTTTCTGTCGAGTCTCAAACCAACCCATCAATGTTTTGGCTTTAGTTTCCCCCCCTTGAGTGGATAGAAACACCTACAAGATTCAGTAGATCGCTGGCTGGATTGATTTAAGGATGGTCTCTGATGGTGAACCAGGCCAGAAAGCCTGACCCTTCTCCACATTAGATTGTTAGCGGTGAACAAATTATATCGATTTCAGGCATCGATACTCCCTCCCACGTCTTACCCCCCTGGCAATGTCAGATACGTTTGAATGTGTACACAATGGAATGACTGCAGCACATGAATAGACAGTAAGTTATCGACTGAACATCAGAACGTCGGTAAACATTACATGAATCATGTCCCACCTGGCAGGTTTTGATCTTCTTTCTACCTCTCTTAGGTAAAACATTTTCTATTTTGATCAAATCCTTTTGTGCCCAAGAAATTTACCGTACCACAACTAAACTGTCTTAGACCTGCAACAGAAAGAAGATAGTCACAGAATAGTCACAGAAAATCAATGTGCTGATTTTAAAAGCTTGTAAAGCATATTCCAAATTGACGATTTGGAAATGGCCCCTTTCCTTAGTGCTGAAACTGTTGTTGCAGTTAATTTGCCTGCTATCAAATCAACCAAAAGGTGTAACAGAAAGAAGGCACAATGACAATTCCACAACAGCTCCTTTCCTTGGTGCTGAAAACCTAACTATTGTTACATGGCATGCTATCAAATCAACCAACCCTATTTCAAAGTCTATATATAAAAGACTAGTACTTGCAATCAAAATACCCTAATATTCACAAAGTTTTCAAGTTTCCTGCAGCTTGTATCCATCCTGTTCTGAATCAGGTTCTAATGCTTCCCTACTGAACAGTCTGATACCTAACTATATTTAAATCTTTGGCCCTTACATCATTGATCATTTTGGATATCAAATATTACTCGGAAGGAGTTGAACAGGAACAATCCCGAATGTCTGTCCGATCCCTGTTACCATGCTATCACAGAGGACTGTGCAACACATAGCCAATCAGAGCTCTCGTTAATATTCTACATGAATATTCAAATGTAAGCGGTCTGCTCTTAACTGGCACCACTATTTGACAGAAAAGCCATCAAAGAAGTAAACCAGACGTAGAATAGTATAAATATTCAGACCAGGATATGCTATCACAGAGGACCGTGCAACAGGAGCTCTCATTGACATTCTATGCGAATATTCAAATACTAATTGATATACTAGTACCACAATTTGGCAGAAAAGCTATCAAAGATGTAAACCAGACCTAGAATAGTATGAATATTTATATTAGCCTATATGTATTTTAAGCCAATGTCTAACAAAGCATGTGGAGAAAGGGGCCTGAAAATTCAAATACTAATCGATCTTCTCTTAATTAACTGGTACCGCTATTTGG